TTTTTCTCATGTGCTGGCCAGTTGATAGTAAATAAATCCTTCAGTAATTCAGACTGCAACAGGCAGAGCTGCCTTTCAATCTGTCACGGCTACCCAGGTAACACCACACCAGTGCCGAGCCAAATTTAGCTTTGTTTTTAACCATCTTTTAAACACTGAGGTCCAAGGTTTAGGGAACCATCAACTCTGCAGGTTCTTGTTTTTCTTTTTTAAAATAACAGGCTAATGCAGCTTTCTACACAAATCCTTGTATGTTGGTGTTATAAATAGCATTTAAATATCAATGGGATTCTTTTAATAGCCTTGAAAACATTTAATCAAGTTGTTTGCTAAAAATACACACCCTACCTTTTAATAGATGCCATTTTGCTAAACAAGTGGCATCTACAACTTGAGGCTTTCATATGAATTGCTGCCCTTCATTTCAAATATTAGGACAACTTTCCAGTCCAAACTGGACCAAAGTGTCCTGGTCTGGGATCCACACACAAATTCAGTTTTTAGAGGGGGAATTACCAACAGTTTTTATCACATCCGTGAGATTCATATGCATTTAAACTCTCAACAACTTAAATAAACCAACCAAACCAAACAACACAAAACAGACAAGATAATTTTTTGTTGTAGTAATAAAGCTATTGCTTAAGTGAGGAAGATGTCGTTGAGTCTATTGATGGTAACGAGGCCTCATGGTCTATCAATCATCTTTGCTACCAACACACAAACCATTCAAGGAAAACTCCTCGCAGTGAAATATTTTTCATATTTTTCATTTTTCACATTATTCAGTGAAATATTATTCATATTTTTCATTATTCACATTATTCAGTGAAATATTCATATCGTAATGCTGACGTGCAATGGCGATGTACACATCACTGCAATTATTTGGGGGGGGTGGTTTTTATACATATTGAATGACAAGGATCATCCATATTTATTTTACTGTTTTCAATGGCCCATTGCACCATTTTGGCCATTGCAATTGGGACCTTTACAATTGTTTTAAGTGTGGGATTGGGGAATGCCAATACCCTTGCTACAATTTTAACCACATTGCCATTTTAAAGATGAGTTTTTCCTTTAGCGGGACAATTTCTCCTTCAGAATTTCTGCTTAGAAAGCTTTTCCCCATTCTTATTGCTGGGCATTGTGAAACCTTTAGGATATTTGGATAAAACAATACTGTTGTTCCCTGAATATAAACTCAAAATGATACCGGCATTTTTTGTGCCAAGGACATAGCAAAAAATAAATTAAAATGACATTGAAAACCATTACAGGCCTCCTGCTATAGCTGCTAGAAATTCAAGGTACTCTGGTACAACAGGAGCTACAACCCTTGTGATTGCTTTCAAAGCTCAGAAGTCCACCGTAGTTTCCAGGTTTCCCATCTGCCTTCACAGCAGACCAGGTCAGGGAGTTACACACTTGGGATCTGTGCTACCGCTCCCTGACACCGCAAGCTATCTATTGTGAGTTATAATCCTATTTCATCTTCTAGTGAATGTTTACACTGCCTTTGTGGAGGAGGGCTTGGTCCCTCAAACAAGACACCCACCTGGATCTTGCCACATTTGAACTCTTTCTCTGCCCAAACCTCAGGAAATGCCTTTGTTTAC